ACAGAGAATTTATTCCTTCAAACTGCTTAAATTTTCAAAAGACAGTACTCTAATAATAATTTCTCATCCTTGTTTTCCACTTCATATTGTTTTCTTGAATTCTTTCATTAAATCCCCACATGACTTTAGTCTAAAATTTTAGGGTCCATCATATTGAACTCTTCCTGCATTGACCTACCAATGTCTTACATAATCCTCCTTATAGTTTAGAAATCATTCTGATACACTTGAGATCATAAGTAAAATATGTAAAAATATACTATTATCTCTCCATTCTAATGATTAGAGTCTATTGGATTCTATTTAGTGGTGTTAAGACAGCATTTAATCTTATAATTCCATTATAACTTTAGCAAATACTTTCTAACCAATTTTTTACTCATTTGGTTATTAAATAGGTTATTGAGAGGTGAAAGTCAACTCTTCCTAAATCATGTAAGTAGACACTCATTGTTAAATTTAGTATTACAAACTAATCTTATTATATATTAAGTAGAAACAAAATAAATAAATTAAAAATAAAGTGAATTTGAAGAAAAAATCATTTTTTAATCATCATCAATCTTCTTTACTTAATTTAGAACTTGCAGCTAATAGAAGATAATAATAATAATTAATAATAACAAATTTTTCAAATAAGATTGAATATTTAAACAACAATTTATGGAGTTTGAGGAATAAGAAGATTAATATATTTTCAAATGATTTACTAACAATTTTTATTTCAAAGATACGAAGAAGTGCAATAAAGTAGGAATGACAACAATATTTAACCTATTATCAAAATTCTAGTATCTGGGGTTTAAATCAGCATTTTCTGTAAATCTTATTAAAAGTACATATTTATCATGCTTATTCACTAATATCTATTTTTATTTAATAAATTATTATGGAAATAATACATGCAATTCATTTCCTTAACTTATAACAATATCTTTTAATTTAGTGAACTATTTAATTACACTATTCATCTCATAAACATACATCAAATTGCCATTACCAGGTTGAAATGTGAATAGATTATCAGTGATAAAGCATAATCGATATCCATAACAATCAACTTGTATTTTTTATATTACAATCCAATCTTTATTAGGTTCTGATTATTGTATTACTAATATGAAACTATCATTTCCACAAGATATAACTTGATTTTGTTATTCATTTAAACTTAATTGAAAGATATCATTACTATGACCTGTAATTGTTTATTAACAGATCCATTCATTTTTTTAACCCAAAACTTAATAGTATTATCTTGACTACTGGATATAAAAAGATCTTCTTTATTATTCAAAATTATGCATCTAATGAAACTTCTATGACCTTCAATAGTTTATGAACAAATCCAAGAATCATTATTTTTATATGACCAAACCAAAATAGATCCATGATCTTCAGAAATTAATTAATTTGTTTATTTCATAAAATTTAAATTGTGCACTTCATTTTAATGTTAATTTAAGACTTGATTTAATTTTAACTTTCCTTATTTGAATTCATATATATTAATTAATTTATTACAAGCAGCCGCTACAAATGAACAATCTTTATTAATAGCAAATGCAGCCCATTATTCTTATTATTTAATAGAATTGGCTTGAATTATCTAATAAGTAAATGGTTTAAGATTGAATTAAGAAGGTGATTTTATTTCATTTTTTTATTATTTTCCTGTAATATCTGATGAGAATTTTTTTTTCATTTCTTTTTTCAACTTTTCATTAAAAGCCTTAATTTCTTTCCCCCACCAATCCATTACCTTTTGTAACTTCTACAAATAAGAATCCTTTGAAGCTTTCCGTTCATTTAATGTTGTTCCTTATACAATTTATACTAATTTTTCTAAGTCCTTATTTGATAAATCTGTAGGATTGATTTTGTTGTTTATGATTTTCAAATATGATTCATCCTGGATCTCAATTGCATCATATATTTCTATGATTGATTCCTATAACCGTTGCCAAATATTCTTCAGCATGCTTTCAGTTTGAGAAAGAATCATTAAAAAATTCTTTCTTCATTTTGTGAATTCGGAAGTTTGATCAATCTTAGATTCTTTTATTTACTTTATAACCATATTTTGAAATTTATGAATCAGAATTGTATATCTAATATCAACTCCATGTACTTATTGGTATTCATTGCAAAGTTTTCTTTAGCATTAACGTAAGTGAGGGGCAATACATATGAAAGTTATAGGAAATTGATTATGGAGAGTGCAATTCATTTTTATTTTTTATTATTGATTTTTGACAACTTTACTTTAATTTTTATACGAAAAATCAAAAAATTATCTTAAGAGGAGGGCCTGAATTTGCTCAGATTTGGAGTTAATAGTATTCATCATAAAATTGGAAAGCTGGAAATCAAGTAAGTCTATTTATAGCTTTATATTCATTAAGAAAATGGAAAAAATCACTATGATGCTAAAAAATTATAATAATTAATAATTTATTCTTTTCATTTTATACATTAATATTTCTATTTTGTTTGGGCTGTTGATAATTCTCATAAAATTAATTAATATATTTCTAATTTTTATTGGGAAACAATGCTAAATTTATTCTTCAATGTCATAACATTTTTTATTGAGTTTACCAAGTATGTATCAATTATTTATCTAATTCCTTTCTTTTAAATCTGTTTTCAAGTCTTGATTATTGAATCCCTATCATTTTTTTAATTTCGGTTGAAAGATCATTTTACTCACAAATAAATGTTTCAAGTATAATTAATTTTACAAATATTAATAGTTGTATTTTATAACCATAATGATTTGAAGAACTAACCTTATAAAAAAAATTTAAATAAAATCGAAGAACCATTATTAAAAAAATAAAGGTTTAAGTTAGTATAGATGCTTAGTAAAAGGATATGGATGTTATTTATTTTAAAGAAAAAATTAATAAATTATGTTACATTCCATAAAGAGATAAGTCATTAGAATAACTAATATTGATGAGATTTAATATAATTAGCTAATTTAATTGTCTTAATAATTTTAAATTTTATTTTACACTATTTATTGTTATTTAATTTATATTTCAAAAGCTCAAAAACTAACAAATACATCCCCAATAAAAAAATATAAAGTTTTTTCGATTTAGTTAGATTTAAAGCAAAACTAAACCTAAAAAATATAAAATCTGATGAAACTATATGTAATAACAATTAGTTCTTATAAATGAATATATTAGTTTAATTGTTATCTATCATTATATCCAATAATTATTTTCTTATTGTTAGATGAAATGATAAATTAATTAAATATTAATTGATCTAATATATCTGATTTGACTAAAGAGATTTTGAATTTATTTGATATATTATTTAATTTTTGAATCACTTCTTTAGGGGTATTAATTGAAATATTTGGAACTTATTTTATTTATGATTGAAATTATTTGAGACCAATGAATGGATACTCTATTTTTAATCAATCGTTTAAGTTTTCAATCAATTTACAATAAATTGGTTTATAATAATTATTCAAATATTTCAATATCATATAACCTTAGATTAATTGGTCTATTTTTGATAGATAATTTCTGTTATTCATTCTAATTTAATATTTATATAAGGATGAAATAATTTCTAATACTTTTAAGAGTTATTATTTTATGAATGATAACTTATAATTCTTTAATATTAAGCTAGATGTTTATGCTATAATTATTCAAATTTGAGTTAAAATAAAATCAATCCAAAATTAATATTTAAGTTTGAATAAAACATAAATTATCAAATTCTTCAGTTCCTTCTGAAGCTGCTGCATGATAAAAATAAGTATTTAGAAACCCTAAGTCACAACTTATCTCCTCTATTGAAAATATTTTAGCACTTAAATACTTCTCTCATGATTTATAAGTATTAGATCCATTTCGCAAGAATAAGATATTAAAAAATAATATGAATAGGTTAATTATAGTAAATAGTGATTTATCTCTGCCGTCTGTAGTCTGCTACTCTCTACTCCCTTTAAATCGCTGTTTGAGGAAAAATGGATGACTTATTGACACGTTCGCTAGAAACGACATAAACAATATCTAAATTCATGTTTCATTCGCATGGCAAGAATGAGAATCAAATAAGAATAATTTCTTAGATTCTAAAATTGAAAAAATGTAATGAGTGATGAAGGAGAATTGTTATAATATTTTCAAAATAGGAAAGTGAGGATAGGTATATCTAAAGCTTAGATGGACTCTGGAAAAAGGCTTTGGGTCTTGTGTAAGTGAGTTTTCAGAATATTTCTAGATGCCAGTGTGGATTCTAAAGAGTAATTTAGATTAATGCAGCTTAAATCATCAAAGAATCGTTAAAATATAGAGTTAAATATAATCTAAATTTTTGGTTTAAGATTTTTCATTTTATAATTATAATAACTGAATTAGGATGTTTATATTTATTACTTTCCTTAAAAATAAAAAAAAAATAAAAAATAATCGAAATTTATTGTTTCAATCTTTTATATTAAAAAGCTTTAATAAAATTTCTATCATTAAATATCTTTTAAGAATTAATTAATTTAAAAGTTTTCATTACATTCTCATTAATAATTACTACTTAGCTGGGAAGAAGTATTACTTAGAATTCACATTAAAACAATATGACAAAAATTAGATTTTGATAGAACAATAATATAAATTTAAGTGTTTCTAAGCCCTAGTTTTTTTAGGGAAGACTCAAAGAATAGTTCCTTCAGAAACCTAAATGGCTCTGTGTGGTTACAGAAATCATCAGGGTTAGAGGCCTATTGAGAAAAGAGCAATTATAAATAATATACTATTCATAAATGTATAAGGGGTAATAAATCACTTTAAATGTAGGCTAATGAGGGTTCATGGGAAAAACTCACTGATGAGATTTTAAAATCAGGAGGGATGCTGAAAAAATGAGTATGCTTGATGCACTTTGTAGAGCAGAGGGGATGATATTTGAACCACCTTTTGTAAGATTATCATTTGTATTTATGTTTTTATATAATTATTTATTCATTCTAATTTTTTTTAATTATTTAAGAAAACTCTAATAGTATTATTTATTTAAGTACTGTAATAATATTTTTCTTAGGATTTCTAAAAATTAAAAAAATTTTAAAAGAAAAAAAAAATATCTTTAGATAATATTTCTTTTAAGTTATTCTAATAGATATATACCTATCATTATCTGGCTGCATCAATATAAAGTTCCTCTTGATAATCTATAATTAAATGAAATAGTTTTCTAATAAATATTTACAAGATACTTATTTACCAGCATGAAACCTACCTAAGGAAATTGAATAAATTGTTCCTTTGATGACTATCAATATTAAAATTTGTAGTCAACAAGAATGAATAATTACTTTATTTATCTACAAGTGGCAGTTTGATTACTTTCTCCAAAAAAATAAATTATAGATATTTTCAGCATTTTAAATGATACATTTTAAATTAATACTCTTAAAAAGCCACCTGTAGAATATTATGTACTAAAAAATGATGTTAAACTTACAAGCCTATAAAGATAATATAAGAATATTTAATATTCAGTCTCAAAGTGGCTTAATTAAATTCTTATAGTGAGACTAATGAAGCTCGACTTGATTGACAGATTTCTATTTTCTTAACAAATTAACTAGAGAGTTAAATTTGCAAAATAATTCAAAAGGGATGGGAATAAAGCTTAGAATAAATTAGAATTTTTAACTTAGGATGATGTAATTTATGGATGTTAGACTTATAAAAAGACATATTCAGCTAAGAAACATACTGAATTAAAACATCAAGATATTAAAATAATTTTATATTAACAATTATTAATAAATAACTCGTTTAAGTGCTTGTTTAACTTCTTTGTTTATAACTTTAAGAGAGTGACTTCTGGACTTTATTTTGTTTTAAACAAACTTTCATCTTACTTTGATATGATGTAGAAAGTTTATCTTACTTAAATTAAGGCCTAAAAGAATGAATAAGAAATTAGTTGCGTGTGTATTTGCAATATATTGAATCAATTAACAACATTGACCTTACTATTAGAATTGTAGGTCCTGAACTTACCAAAAGAAAACTGTAGTAGTGAAGACTATTAGATTTTATCCTTTTTATATGTTTCTAAGTGTGATGAATGCCCTGGTGAAGTGGAAAATGAAGTATTTCTTGCGATTAAGTTAATTTAATGGTGTAGCTTCACTTCTCTTTACTAGTCACTCTAAACTTCCTTCAAAGCCTATTAGTAAACTTTCTTATTATTTTTTCTATAATCAATATGGAAAGGAATATTTGTTAGCTTAAATTTAACGAAAATGTTAAAAACTATTTTAATAAGTGTTATATTTTTTATTAAATGCCTTATAAAATATCATACAGATTTTATTGTGGTTTTAATGTTTGATCAGATATCAAACCAAAATTAAATTTAATTTATCGACAGTCATAAAACACTTTATATAAAAGATGTTCTTTCATTAATTTTCTTATAGAATTTCATATTTATTAAAGTTATTCTAATAATCAATCCTTCACAAAAATTTTTACTCAAAAATCGTTTGGATTG